GATCCCGGGGCAGATTAGGGTGCTGTGAGGCGGGGTGACTTTGCATTGCAAATCGCGCTCCCCGGCCGGGTGGCAGAAATGAGTCGACGGGTGCGGAGCCCTGACTCACTGCTGCTCGGAGCGCTACCCCACCCCCCGCCCTGTTTCGGGCTTCAGACCGAAGCCGAGGCACCCACGGACTCGAGTTCCAAAATCAGCCAAGCAAACGAAACCGCCGCCTTCGCTTGCGGGAGATTGGGGCCGGATCCCGTACTAATGCGCGTTCCTGTCCCCCCTTCCCTCCCAGCAGCCTAGCCTTGGACGCCAAGCGGGGAGCGCGCTCGCCATCTGGGAGCCAGCATGGTGGACGGCCCTCATCCCTGCTGCATGGCGGGCCACGCCACGACCGACCCGGGACCCCGCCCTCCCACTCGACCCAGGCCGTCCCGCCTGACCACGTGCCGGTGTGGAAATGGGTCCCGTCCCGAACTCGCCGTCGGGGGCAGCTTCCTCGGACCCTGACCGCCCCGCCCCTGAAGCTCTCCACTGGGCTGGGGCTGAGGCACCAACACTCTGGAAGTTTCCCTGAACCGGAGAGTAGCTATTGACGGCACAGAGCACCTACTTTTTATACGTTAACTGAACTGCCCAGGGACCCTGGGCTATATGAAGACTTATTTTTACAAAGACCCCTTCAGTTGGAACACAATAAGATTGTCTATCCCCGCTCCACTCACCCCCAATACCTGGAGTTTTCCAACTTGGCCAAGATCTGGACATGACAACTCCAGAGGGACAGGGTCCCTGGCAGGGGTCCCCGTGTAGCACCCAGTTGACCCAGGGCAACACTTCCAGCTGGGGAGAGACCCCTGTTAGAACACCTGTTTTAAGGAAGGTGGATTTTGTAAATAAACCAGTCCTGTGTATCAGTGGTGTTGGGGACCCTCTCCAGACCCTCAGGTTCCCTGTTTCCCAGGTGAGGGCCAGGCACAGGTGGGAGGATGGTGGCCCAGGCTCTGGACCTTACAGGCCTGGCTCCTGTCCTCACTTATCCCTGGACTCCACCCCCGCTTCTGTGAGGTCTGGGAGGCCAGCTTTGGCGGCTGCTGTGCCAAAGAAACTCAGGCAACTTGTGAGGCTACCGCTTCTGGCAGGAGTCAGCAGGCTGGTGGGTGGTCCAGGCAAAGCTACGTCACATCTGGGAAGCTGAGGTCTGGAGGCTGCTGACCAACACAGGAGTTGATGCAAATGCCATGTGTAGGACTGGACCCTCTGTGTCAGGGTCCAGGCTGCCTGGGTTCAAATCTCCACTGCCTGCCACTTATTGGGTGACCCTGGGCAAGTTGCTCAACTTGCAAATGGGGGTGATAGCAGAGCCGCCCTACAGGGTCATGGGAGAAATGAAGGAGAGGTGTCTAGCAGTGTCTACAGCACCCTGTACTAAGCCTCCAGCCACTGTGCCTGTGGCCTCAGCCTACATGTGCTGTTCAGGCTGCAGGGGCCTGGGTGGCAGCAGCAAGGCCCTGTCCGCCTTCATTTATGGGTACCGTAAGAGCCACCCCGGAGAGGAGCAAGGCAGGTCCCCTTGGTTCCCCCAGCTCAAAGGGCCCTCGCAGATTACTCAGCTCTACCTTTGACCTGGGCCTCGGCAGCTTTGAAGTCTAGCGGTGCCCAAAGCTCTTTTATTGCAGGGATGGGGGCGGGCTGATGGGGATCCCCCAGGCTGTTTTAAGGTGCTGAAGGGACCCTTTCTGTCGGCAGGGAGCAGTTGGGTCAAAGCCGTTGGAACCCTGGGAGGAGGAGCAGTGTGTTGGCAGACAGGAGATGGCTCCTGGGTAACCATAGCGACAGGGTCCTGGGTCTGCTGAGGCTGGCTGGGGTCAGCAGACCAGCTGTGGCTTGGGGCTGCAGGGCTGAGTGAACTGGCCTCCCAGGGACAGAAGGGTGCATGTTGCATGGCCACCCAGTGAGGGCCACCCTACAGCCTTTCCCCAGAAACCACACCCAGGCCAGTGACCTCACTGAGCCACAGGACCTGGGCTGTCCCGTGACCTCGGGGAGAGGGGAAGCCCATACATGGGTTTGGGGGAGGAGAACCTGGGAGAATGGGGCCAGGAGGAAAGGACGGCTCTCCCTGCCACGAGAACCAGAGGCGGCATGCTGTGGATGGAACGCTGCAAAGTATCAGTGCCACCATTTTTGTTTTCCTGTTTTATGGAAAATTCCAAGCATGTGCAAGAGTTCTGAAACCTCTGTTGGACACCCTTCTCTGTACCAGGAACCGTCAGGCACTCGGGTACATCACCAAGTCTAAGGGAAACCCTGACCGCATGGAGCCCACGTTCTAGTGGAGGACCCGGGATCCAACCCACAAGCACATCCATGAGTCAGTCGTACGGTCTGGCCATGAATGGACACACCGGATCCCAGGGGACACGGCAGCGGCCCTGAGTGGGGCAGACCAGGCCCTTAGTCAGAGCCGAGCTTGAGTGGCCCTTGCCTGTTCCAGCCTCCCTGAGGAGCCCGCCCAGGTCCTGTTGGAGGGTGTCTCATTGACATGTGAGACTGGTCATTCTGGCTTTGGTTTCAAATGAGGGGACGGGGCCTTTGCAGCCCCCCTGTCAGTCTGCCTCTGAAGCCTTGAGGGCCTCGAGCATTCTGGGGAGACACATAAATCCAGCACCAGCTCTCCCCCTTGCCCAAGGCCAGTAAAAATTGGGGAAAACGTGACATTAACTTGATGAAATATAGAGCCTTTTCCTTGTCTCCAGGGTCTCTGTCTTGACTTAGTGGCGTTTGAAACTTGCTATTTAATGCTGTTCTATGTAAAGAAAAGGGAACAACTTAAATCAGAGCGTGAGTTTTAGTTCTTACCACACACCGAGCAGTGCCAGCCGTCAGTGCAGACGTAGGAGCATTTCACTCCAGCATCGCCGACGTGACGCCGTTTGTACTTCGTAGCTTGCACTTGCACACGTATGTTATTGTTACCTGAACAAAGGAAATGCAGCATCAAGACAGTGTCGCTGTTTTTATGTCAGTCCATGATGTGCACGCTCTACCTTCACTCCCTCCCGTCAGTGTGTGGCTCAGGAAGGACTAAAAGGAAGAAACAGGCTCACCCGTCTGTCCCTTTTGGGCTGTGTCATGATTTTTCGCCTAAGTGGCTTCTAGAGGGAAGTTGCAGGAGGAAGAAGGACATGGATGGGCTCCGTGGGCGTTCGTGTTTGTTACATCTTTCTGCATTTCGCTCAAGTCCTGGGTTGAGTGAACATGGCCCCCTGGGGCTGTCGGCGCCTCTTGCTGGGGGAGGATTCGTGGCACCCTGGCCTCCTGTGGCATGGGTCCTCATGAACACTGTGTCCCTGGGTGTCCTGCAGACAGGGTGGACTTGTGTCCAGTGGGCATGTCCTCTGCTCACGGGCTGTGCCACTGTCTCAATGCCCTTCACCAGCGAATGCACGGTCCAAGGTAAAAGTGAGAATTTCAAGACGGCATGACAGCGTGCAGGCCTACTGGGTGTGGGGCCTGTGTCTGCACCTTGCCCACGCCTGTGAGGCTGGTGCCGGGGCCACCCCTCACCTTCTCTCCTCCTGGGGACTCTGGGCAGCACCGCTGTGTCCAAAGGCGCGTCTGCTGCTGGAGCCCTTTGGCTGGGCTGGACCTGGAGACCTGCCTCTACCTCTTACTGCTGCATTCGCCTGGGGTAGCATCCAGGCCAGGGGAGGGGGCACAAAGAGTCAGTGACATCAACCCTCATGCCCGTACCGTAGAGTTGGGGGGCCGTCGTGTGTGGCCTAGAGGGCTCGGGAGGGAGGTCACGCAGGTGACCGCTCTTGCACGGTTGGTGGGTAGTAGGCACCGGGTGAAGAGCAGGGGACTGTTGGCGCCCATGCCCACCTTCCAGGCCAGGGCCTGCCTTTCCTCCCTGCCCTAGTTCCCGCCAGGCATCCTGACTCCTGTGGGACGGGACTCTGGGGAGGGGGCTAGTGACACTGCTGACAGGGAGCTCAAGGGCCTCACATGGGGACTGTGGGAGGAGGGCAGAGCCCTACTGTGGGGGGCGGTGGGAGGGGTAGGTGTCCAGCAGCACTCCTGACCCTCTGCCCAGCAGTAGAGGTGGGAGGGAGGCTTTCCACGGGGTGGGGGCTGTACTGGGGTGAGTAGGCGCCATGCATGGCCACGCCCTCAGCCTTTAGCTCCTGTACAAACGGGCCGGGGGCCAGGTGGCCGCTCAGGGCCTGCCCAGTGCAGTCGCCCTGAGCCTGTGGACTATGAGTCAGTCTTGAGTTCTCGGGAACAGTGGGAGGGGCAGGTCTCCCCAGGACTCTAGCCTCCTCTGAGGGATGTCACCCCCACTTTCAGGCCCGGGCGGCTCAGGGACCAGCCTGAGGTCCACAGGTAGCAGAGGTGTGCAGGAACTGGCTGAAACCCCGTCGCACCTTCCTTCATGCCTCCCTTGGGCCCCACGCCTGCCTGGAGGGCCGTGGTTGCTCTTTTTCTACTGGGAACGTGAGACGGAGGGTCTTGCCTTCAATGAGTGACTGAGAGGAGCCAGGACGCCCGCTCAGGCCACAGAACACCCCGGCCTCCAATGGGTGGGGTGGGAGGAGCATGTGGTGAAGAGGGGAGGGGCTGGGTGGCCTCTGAAAGGGTTCCCGGGGGCCCTGAGAGCTGGACAGGACCAAGCGCTCTGCCCCTTGCCAGGCTCCTCCTTGGCCAGGACGGGAGCAAAAGGAGAAAAGAGGGAGCTGGATGGAGGAGTGGCTGTGAGCCGTGTCCTGACCCCTGTCCAGCTCCCAGGGCCCCCATGGGCTCCTGCCCAGTCCCCGCACCAGCCTCACCCCTGTCCCCAGCTGCTGGCTGTGATTAATGGGGCAAGTCAGTGGGGGTGGGGCAGTATGCCACAGGGAGCTGCCATCAGCCTGGTCAACCTTGTCCCCAGCAGTGTCCCCCGCTGAGGCTGGGACCCCAGCCCCCCTTATACATTGAAATAGGCCTTTGTCTCCAGAGCCCTGAACGTCCAGCTTCCCAGAGGCAGGAAGGGGCCTGCTGAGGGGAGGGTCACTTTGTCAGCACCCCCAGAGCAGCCCCTGCCCAAGGCCACACACCAAACAGGGAGAAACGGGGGCGTGTGCCCACTTGGGTCACTGGCCCACTGCATGCCAGGCCCCAGGCCACGGTCCTGGGGCAAGGTCAGGGGGACAGTGGGGACTCTAAGTTAGGTGCCATCTGCCTGTTTGCTGTCAGCAAAGCCCTTTCTCCACAATGACCAGGAAAACCATCCCCAGAGTTAACGCACCCAGGGGTATGCTTGGTGAAGTGACCGTGAGACCTCTCGTGGGGGGGTGGGTAGCCGGCTCAGCCAGAGACCACAGGGCACTTGGGAGGGTGGCCATTGCTGAGGACAGAGGCCTGGGTTCCTGAATGGCCTTGGACAAATGTCTCACCTGCTGGGACCCCAGCGAGCCCACAGAAGGGTGGGACGGGCTCCAGGCCTTTCCAGGGAGGGTCCCTGAAACATCATGTGACATCCCAGGAGGGGGCGGCTGTCACCTTGGTGGGGTGTTGGGAGCTGGTGTCGTGGGGAGGTTGGCATCAGAGCCCTGTTTGCAAGGCCCACTTTCTGTTCTCTGCTTGCCTCACAGGGTTCTGTGTGGGGTCCAGGCCAGGACCCAGCAGCGTGGCCAGACCCCATGGGGTGGCCTCCCCACAGCTGGGATTACCTGTCCTGATGTTAGTGAGAAGGTGCTGGCTACCACCCAGGGCGCCCAGTCCTTCCCCCCACTCCCCACCTGGCATTTGCCTACAAGCCCTGGGGCGCTGTCCGGGCCCCCAGCCGCTGGACGTTGCCAGCACTGCACTGATAAACATGCAAACCTCTAAACGAAATCCAATTAGTACCCAAATG